GTATTTATTTAATATATTATATATATCTATTATATATAATATTATATATAATACTATATCTTTATATATTGATATATATATCTATTTTTATATATTAATATAGAATAATACGACACACACACACACACAATCAGAACACACACACTCAATCACACCAGTACACGAACCACACTAACACAGGGCATAATTTATGAATTCGTAACACACAACATTTTACTAACCTAATTATACTATAATAATATAATATAGCTTATTATAGTAGGTATATATAATATATACTTATTTTGAGCTATATATATAATATATAGTAATATAAATATATATATTATACCTTTTCATAGTTAATCATATACTATTTTCATCTATAATACTATACATCTATATATTATTATACTACTATATGTTACCTATCATATCATATATTAATCTTCACTATTTATTATTATTATTACATGCTTATATATAAATCTTATATATATATTAATTACTATTAGTCTATATATATCTACTCTTCTTCTATGATATTATACTATCTCCAGTATATATATATAGTTCTGTATCTATCTTATACTATATCTATTCATATTACTCCTATATCCGCTATCTAAACTCGCACTCACATCCATAAACATTATATAACAATATATATACATTATATATATACGTTATGTATAACTTATATATACTATAAGTTTATATTAATATATATGTATGTATATAGTAGTTCTTAGTATTATAGTAGTGGTATATACATATATATCTATATGTCTATATTAACATATAGTTTATATATAATTCTTCTTATAAATACCATATGATATCGAAATCAATATGTATCATCTTAATAGTTACTTTACTTATTAATCCAAATATTAGTGTGGTAGATGATGTCAGTGTCCACGTACTATACTACTAATATACATTACCATCTAGACTATAATATATACATATAATATATACTACTATTCTTTACTATTATTATATTCCATTATTGATGTTAATGTGTGTGGTGTGTGTGTGTGTGTGTGTGTTGTGTGTATATAGTTACGATATGTACTATTAATTCTTACCTATAATAGTATATATATATTAATCCTATATACGACTATATAATATATATATATAGTCTTATATCTTAAGTATATATAGCTACTAAGTATATACCTACTAATATAAAATATAAGATATGATATGTGAGTACTATAATCCGCTTTATTTACCAAATCATCGTATAGCTTCACTACTATATATATCAGCTATATACTATATATATATAATATTACTTACTGTCTCTCCAACACTCATATCTTAGTATAATATATGTATAATATATAGTATTATATATGACATTCGTCTACTATATATCGTATTTAGTATACCTATATAGACTAGTAGTATATATATATAATTGTATATATATACTATATTATATATCAAATATATATATATATTATATATATAATATGTATATATATAATATATAAACTGAGCATATATACCCCTATTATATATACTATATATCTCTAATATACCACTATAACGAGCCACTATATATACTGCTATATATTATATAATATTATATAATATATATTGTATAATATAAATATGGATAGATATGATAATAGATAGATAAGATTATGATAGATAGATAGATCAATAGATAGATAAGGATTAGAATAGATAGATAGATATATAGACCTAGAAACTCAAGAAGCTACTACCATGTATTATATCAGCTACATATTATTATATATATGTTATATATATATATAGATACTTACTAATATATATCTCATGGCGTCACTAAAGAGAGTATTATACGCTATATTAGTAATCATAGAAGTGATCATGTGTGAGTCTAGCTAGATGTTTTCACATGTTCGTGATGTTAGTGTGTGGTGGGAGTGTATTTATTGTGTATGCGTGTGTGTGTTTGGTGGATGATATAGATAAGTGTGTGCTCGTTCGTGTGTGGTGTATGGTGTGGTGTTAGTGTTGTCGTGTGTATGCATTAGTAATGTGAATGTTTACATATTAGGCATATTACTGTGAGTGTAGTACATTGTTTCGTTTGGAAGAGTTCTCCGCCCTGTAATGATGTCGTCGCTCGTGTGATGTATACTCAGGTAGCGTATATAGTAGTAGGGAGAAGGTGATGAGTGTATGAGCAGTATAGTGATAGTACTAGTGAGATCACTAGTGTAATAGTAAGAGAGTATGGGCGAGGCATAGGCGTAAGGGCTGGCTGTATCGGTAGTTATATACAGATGTCCTGATGAGTAGAGTGGGATGGGTAGCGGGATATAGATGTAAGATATGAGTATTTAGTCACGTATTTATGTGATTTAATCACTGTATTATGCGCACATAAGGGATAGTGTGTGTGAGATAGACTCCGAGAAGGCTGATATAGCACAGGTACGAGTAGAGAGAGGTCGAACAGACAGCACACAGAAACACACGCACGCGACATCACACACGCGGATGGCTACGCGTGTACGCATATGGTGGCAGTGAGTGAAGCCGGCGCAACGTGCGTGCCTGGTGTGGCACCCCATACGGATATATGTATAGTATATATATAGCGGGACAACATGTTATATCTATATAGGGTAGCATGGTTGTAGGGTACGGCGTATACCTATTATTCTGTAAACGATACCATACTCACTATCTATTATCATATATAAAGTATTAACTGCGAGTATGACGCTAGGACGGACAGACATAAATATTGTTAAATCATGAGAGGTATATTATACACACTCTATATATATAGTCTGTACGCGATAGTACTAAATAATACTCCTTTTTCTATTATCATTATATATATATTCTTTCATTTTATTTTTTGAGTTATGACATAATATACACATACGTTATATAATAAGCTATTATATTATTATATATATTAGAATAATAATCATAATAGTATACTAAGGTTAAAATGATGAGATATTTGATAACTCACCCTACATATAACTATATATACAGAACACACACCACCACACACACCATATATAATATATATATAGCTATACTATATTATAGTACGGTTCTATAATATATTATATTATATATACTAAGTATATAATAGTATATACTAACTACTAGTTATATATTATATACCACTGCATATATAAACAGACACACACGCCGGACACACACAACCACATACCCAATATATATACTAATCTAGTCTATATATAAGTAGTACTACTAATATATATATATATAGTCTATATTATTATATATATATATATATATACTATATATTATTATTATTATTTTGTTCTATATATACATATATCATATTTAATTATTATATATTTATATACTATTATATTAATATATTAATATACTATATATATATATATTATATAATACATATTATATATTATCACACACACATATCTATATTATAAGTATATACATATAATATTAATATATATATTATATATATAATCATATACATATATATAGTCTTTATTTATATTATATGTATATATATATATTATTATATATATTACTATGATATTATACTATATATATTATATCTAATACATATATAAAATGTATTACTATATATATATTATATATATAATATATATACTATATTATATATCTATTATTGTTATTATTTATTATTACTATTATTTAACATTGTCATTAGTATTTTTATTTTATTTATAATATGAGATGAGGGAGAGAGATGGACTAGATAGATATTGATATGCTGATCGATAGGAAAGATAGGATAGTAGTAGATAGATAGAATATATGATATACTAATATTTATATATAATTACATATAGCGCTCCTTATTATTTGCATATTATTATAATATCATATAAATATTTTTTTTATACAATACATATCAATCCATACAAATAAATACATACATATATATACATATATTATCACATATTGGTGTGTCGTTGTGTGTGGGAGTGACTATTGTTTAAATCCATTTTGTTTCATAGATAGCGTGTGTCTTGTAGTTGGTATAATTATATGGTGATGAATTCATCTATGATATATCTTATATCAATACCTTATTTCATTCATATGTTATTATTTTTACATTTATCGGTGTAAGTGTATATTTTCGGTTCGACAAATTATCATATTACTAGTATTATATGATTATAGTACACTTTTATATTTTATTTTTTATTCATCTTTATATAAGTAATAACTATTTAATAGTATATATATATATATACTTATATAATCAATTTATATATACTTATATATAATTATATTATATAGTAGTACTTTATATATTTATTATATATTATTATAATATATATATATATATATTTATTATATCTATATATATTAATAAATATATTTAATGTATAGTATGTAATGTATGTATATATATTATATATTGTTATATATAATATGTATATATATTATAATATATTATATATTTATTATTAATATATATATATATAATATTAGTGTGTGTGTGTGTATGTGTGTGTGTGTGTGTGTGTGTGTGTGTGTGTGTGTGTGTGTGTGTGGTGTGTGTGTCTGTGTGTGTGTGTGTGTGTGTGTGTGTGTGCATGTATGTATGCATGTAAATAGAGAGAGTAAATAATTAGATTGATAGACAGACTTTCATACAATACACACACAACACACACAACACACACACACACACACACACACACACACACACACACACATTATATATATATTATATTATATTATATATATATATATATTATTAATATATATATATATATTATTATATATTATGTCTATCTATTTATATGAGGATGTATCTATACATAAAGGAATATATGACAAAATAATTGCCACATTTCTCTGTGGGCTCTCATCTGATTGTGAACATTAGGATATGCAAATATTTATCTTTCCACCACAGTAAGTGGAAATGTGTTCAAAGTTTTAGCTGATTTTCTCTATATTTTGGGTATAAACTAACGCTGTAGGAATACACTGCTCAGTTTGGAAAATCATATAACGAA